CACATCGCACATGCCGCCAGTCAGCGAATCTTCCCAGCTCTACTTCAGGATATATCCGGAATCCGTCTACTACTTGCAACATCTTGGCTAGACTCTGGTTCAAGGCTTGGGTGCCTCTTCTGAAGTTGTCTTAGCTTCTATCCTTGGCTCCCACCCTTGTTCTATTCTATTCTATTCTTTTTTTTTTTTTTTAGATTTATTCATTTATTTGAGAGGGAGAGAGCGAGAGCATGTGTGAGCAGGGGGAGCGGCAGAGGGAGAGAGAATGTCAAGCAGATTCCCTGCTGAGCCTGGAGCCCAATGTGTGTCTTGAACTCATAACCCTGAGATCATGACCCAAGCTGAAATCAAGAGTCGGATGCTTAACTGACTGAGTCACCCAGGAGCCCCATCATTCTGTTCTTAATACATCTAAAGTGAGTCTGTGAAAGCATAGGTCAGAGGCTGTCACTCCTTTGTCCAGAACTGTCAGAGCTTTTCATCTCGCTCAGAGTAGAAGCCAAAGACCATCAAATGATCTTGTAGCTATGAGGTGCTACATGATTTGCCTTCTTCCTGCCTCTCTGGGCCCGTTATTTCCCCGTACCCCACCCCTGCTGCTGCCACCACAGCCACAGGCTTCTTCACTGCTCTGTGAGCATACCAGGCATCTGCTGCCACAGGGCCTTTGCGCTCCTGTTTCCTCTGCCTGGGATATTATCTCCAGGGATTGCATGGCTTACTACTCAGTTTCCTTCAGGCCTTTAGTCACCTCCTCAGGGATGCCCTCCCTGGTTTCTCTATTTAAAATTGTAATCCTTTATAGTCTGTCCCTAATTTATTCTCATCAAAAAAAAAAACAGATGTCTTATTTATACACGTGTTTATATCTGTTTCCCTCATTTCCTGAGGGAAGTTCTTGTCTGTTTTGTTTGGTGCTGTATTCCCAGTGCATAGCATCTGCCCACAGTTATTGAAGGAGTACATGATCCCATAGAAACACATTAATTACCCTTGTCACGAAACCCCATTCTTTCCAAACAGAGTGCTTTACTAAATCCTTCTCTCCCCTCCCCCCCAACTTTTAAAATAGGCTCCACACCCAATGTGGAGCCCAAGGCGGGGCTTGAACTGTAGACCCTGAGATCAAGACCAAGCTGAAATCAAGAGTCAGATGCTTAACCCACTAACCACCAGGTGCCCCTAAATTCTTTCTTTCTTTCTAACAGGATAATTCTAGAACTTATTTTTAGTTCCAAGTGCCGACTAATTATCAAAATGTAGATGTGGTCTCTTATCTCTACCACCCCTTCCCTTTATCTCTGAGGAGCCTGCATTCCTGCCTGGGAGAATCCCCTTTTAATAATCTCAGTCAAGGCTGACACCTTAGCCTTCTGAGCTTTCTTGCCCAGACATACATACAGAAGTCTGCTTAAACGGAAGAGGCTGTCTTTTCTCTGCAGCCTGACCTTCTCGTTGACTTCTTGTAATCTGGGATAAAAATCTTCCTTCCCACAATCTTCCAAATATGTTTAATAGAACAGAACGGTATTAAGGCTAACCACGGCTCCCACACAAGTGTACACACCATTTGTACCAAGGAGCTTGCTGGAAAGGATTCAGACTGCACACGATATCAAGCCAAAATACGATGCTTTTAACGAAGCAGTCGAAGAACTCCATGGAAATGGCGGGTGTGGATAGGAAAAACTCTCATTTATGAAAGATCTTTTGTGAGATCTTACTGATGTCATTTACTTTTCTGCTCCTGGGCCAACCCTTCAGAAACGCAGTGACATTCTGGGGGATGCAGGATCTTGGCCCGGTGTGTTGGGGTCTTCTAGGAGTGGTCCTGAAGGGGCCAGATTGCCCCCCCCCGGCCCTCCCCCGCCCCCCTGGGTGGGGGGTCCTAGGGCTGCAGGGAGGACCCGAGACTGTGATGCCACGGACGTGGGGTAGGCGACAATACCCAGCTCTAGCCTTCCAGCCTTCCGGGGCTCCTTGACTGCTGGCCGGTCCTCCAGTTTCCTTACCTGTGTGCGGATGGTCACTGGGGGTGACTGGGGCTGCGGGGTGGGGGGCGCTCAGTTACATGAGTCCTGTTAGTCATTGCTTACTGGACACTCATCACAGGCCCTTCCCTTCATGCCTGATAACACACCCAGCACTAAAAGGGACTCCTGAAAATGACATAAATTCCACCAGGTAACTGAAGGGCCAGCCTTTCCTATTAACCTACTTTTAAAAAGAATAATTTGCATGTATTTAATAAAAACAGTTATAGTATGTAATACATACATTTTTTCCTCTTTCTTCTTCTTTTTTTTTAAAGACCAGTTAGTTCCCCTCAGGCCCCCAAGCGGGGTTCTGGCAGGACCTGGGGGCTTGGGCCAGGTGTGTCTGGCTTCCAGATGGGCCTCGCTAACCACAGGTGAGTCATCAGGTCTCCGTGATGTTGGTGGGGCTGGAGCAGCCGGCTGGCAGGGTGGAATCCTAGAGAGAGCTCCTAGGGAGAGGCCCCTAGAATGGTAGGAAAATGTCCTGACAGCAGGGTGTGTTCCTTTTGGGTTTATTTCTACATTTCCACTTGGGGGCAGGGAGTCGGGGAGGGTGGAGGCCGGGGTGCTGATGCTGGGGTGGGGGAGGGGAGATAGTGGTGGGATGGAGGAGGGTTTTCGGGCAGAGGGGCAGGCAGATGTGTGGGAAGACCCTCAGGTTGTGTCAGATTTCTTCTCTCTCTCTCTCTCTTTTTAAAGATTATTTATTTATTTGACACAGACACAGAGAGAAAGGGAACACAAGCAGGGGGAGTGGAAGAGGGAGAAGCAGGCTTCAGGTCGAGCAGGGAGCCCGATGGGGGCTTGATCCCAGCACCCTGAGCTGAAGGCAGACACTTAAGCACTGAGCCATCCAGGGGCCCTATCTGGGAATTCTTCTAAATTAGGCCTGGCGCTGGGGTGGGATTTGGGGTAAGGATGAAGGCGAAAGGAAGAGTTAAATATATTAGGAAAAATTATTTTTATTTGGGTGACTCCCATTCGATTTTGAAAAAATGGCAATTGAGTATTCCTTTTATAATTAGGAAAAAATGTTAAAAATGAAAAAAAAATAAGCTATGTGGAAGACTTTTGATGATGGTTGGAAGGACGTTATCACTTGTTGACTCTGCCGGGAACTACTAATCTAGGATTTAACAAAGCTGCCTCATCAGTGCTCTGTTCCAGCTGTGCTGGCTTCCTGTCTCTAGATAGATTTGTTATTATTATTTAGGGGCCAACCTTCCCCAGGATGTTGCTATAGAACCATCTGTTAAGTGAGAACCTCAAATTTTCCTTAATGAATTTTTTTCCGTTGGTTTAAGTGATAGGTAATAATTCACATTGATAAGCTTCTTCACCATTTACAAAACATTTTATTTACATTTTGAATATGACCCTCACCACACACAGTGAAGATTAGCTTTGTTACGTGATTTGTTAGTGAACCGAAGCTCAGAGAGGTTAAGAGACTTGCCAGACATCACACAGCCAATGAGAGGCAGAGCTTAAATCCTTGAGTTTCTTGCAGGATTGCCCAGGATGTGGCTGTGGTGTTTACAGCCTTGTTAGATATCCACTTATCTCATTTGGCTTTCTAACAGCCCGTGCATCGGGAGGGTGGGTATTACCATCTTTTTCTAATAGGCAAGAGGGGAAGGCTCCCGCCAGCACACAGAGGTAAGTGGCCGAAGGTAATGCCGCGGTCTCTTTGCTCTACTAAGTGTTGCCTCCAAAATTTGCGCACATCATGAACAGGGAGGGTGTGTGTGTGATGTTTCCAGAAAAAAAAGGAAAATGCTCCGTTAATTATTTGCCTCTGGGTATAACAATCATCTCACAGCTCAGCTCAGAGAAAGCTCAGAGAATTGGCAAATCACTGATCTCAAGCTTGAAAGTGAGAGAATAAAACCCAAATAAGTGAATGGCTTTTGCCCCCACCTGTGTCAGTTCATTTGCTCTGTGCATCTCCCGTCCACACTGGCGTCCGCACTGGCGGCTCCTTCCTTCCCCAGCACTTTCCTTGAGAACGTGGAGGCTCAGCCCCACCCCCACCCCTCCCGCCATGCCAGTCTGGCGTCCTCTTTTGGATCTCTAGAAACACCTATGGGCCTGCCTTCTTTTTACAGTGCTTCTGGGGAGAGAGACCTCAGCTGACTTTAGGCAGTGGAGAGGGTTTAGTTCTGCACAGAGGGGTCCACACTACTGCTCCCTTGGTCCCCAGCAGTGATCAACTCTAATTGGCCAGTCATGCTGCCACGCTCTACCACCTGGAGCCAGTCCTGAGCATACAGAAAAGATGCCATGGGGTCCTGAGGGAAAGGAAGTTGGCCACGAGGGAACAGCCTTGCTGGGCTCCCTCCTTTTCGAGGTGGACCACTGGGCGGGTGGGAGCTGACTCACACTTGAGGGAACACTAAAGGGTCACTCTTCTCCTGCCACTGGGCCGGCTCTGCCCAGATGGAAAGATTGTCCACCCCTGCTCAGAAGCAGCATGGAGACCTCCATGTGGACAGCCAATGCCCTGGGCCTCTTGTCAGGGTCCCCCAGTTAGCAGGCCTTCTGCACCCCAGCACCCACCGTCCCATGATACTAGCTTCAGTCTTGGTACCCGCTCTTCACATGCCCTGCCTGGCTGCAGCAGCTGGGGGTGGGGGGAGCTGCTCAAGAGAGTCTGCTCACATTCTTAGAAGCAAAGATGACTTAGCTCTGGCATGTCAGAAAGGCATGCCCTCTGCGTTGTTCACCTCGACTGAGTTCCCTCAGCGGCTTTGGTATTTTTCAGTGTCCCATCCCTCATCAGCTTCTAGCACCTTCTAACATGTCAAGAAGCATCAAGCCATTGGCAGAGAGGAGATTAAAGGGGGGGCGGGTGATGTAGGGCTTCTAATCTCCTTCTACCACCCTATTCTTTCTCCCCACAATTCCTAATTGTATTTATAAAAGAGTAATGCACGTCAAACAGAAAAATAGAAAGCAACTTACCCCTGCTCCACCTATGGGACACAGTAGCCTGGGCATTGTAGCACAACAGCAGAAGCAGCAGCGTTTTCCAGCACATCTTCTCTTCCAGAAAGTGAAAAGTTGTCCTCAAACCCAGTGGGACCTCAGGAGCTACAGGTATGCCCGTACCGGTCTGCCCAGCGCCAAGATATAGTTCGTACCCCCCTTCCCTTTACAGAAGTGCACAGATGCCCTCTCCTGCCCCAGAAGGGTGGAGGCAGAGGCAGCCTCTTGGGGGGGGGAGTGGGGGGGCAGGAATTGGGACTTCTGCTAATTCGACTCTCTCTGGGATTGGGGGACTGGGCTTCCACAGAGAGACTCTGTTTTTGAGCACATCTGGAGTGACTCACGGGGCATGTGATCTCCTTGGCAGTAGGGTGGATAAATATAACTTCTGTACTTGAGTTCCATGTGTTGGATGGACCCACTGGAATTTTTCTTTAACAAACAGACTCGTGGAACTTGTTAGAGAGCCCGGCAGAGAGCTGGCTACTGTCCCCGTCCACACACGCACACACACATACAGCAGGAGAGCCAGGGGCGAGGGCTGCAGGGAGAGCTGGGTGGCTTGGCTGGCGACACAGGGGCTGACAGCCCAGAGTTGCCTTCAGGACAGCGGAGTCATTGTGGTGTCTGGGCTGAGTGTCCTTGCCGCCCTTCCCTGGAGCTGGACCTAGCCATCTTGGTGCCTGGCGTCAGCTCTGAGAGCCTTCCCCAGGCTGTACATAGATGGGGAGTCAGCGTTGTGAGGAGCAGAGGTAGAGCACTGCTGTGGTCCATGGATATTGTATATGCAGCTAATGATCTGGGGACCCGCTGTGGCCCTCTCCTCCCATTCACGTTCATGACACCCCAATTTCTGGACTGTATCTAGCTAGACCCAGGACCAAACCACTTTGATTCTCCCAGGCAAAACAGTAGTGTTTTTCCATGATCTTGTTTTGGGTAATTGATTAATTAACTTTTATCGAGATGTAATTGACATGTGACATTGTGTAGGTTTAAGGTGTACATGAGTTGATTCAATTTGGCACACTTCCATATTGCAATATGGTGACCACTGGAGCATTAGCTAACACGTCTATCATGTTACGTGATTATCATTCCTTTTTTCTGGCGAGAACATTTGAAGTCCATGGTCATTTTTCAAGTACTGCCATTGACAGGCAGACATCATGGTTTTTGTCTCATATCACTCCTTCACCTTCTCTGAAGGTTCTAGAGCTTCAAGGACATATGACTTGACCATATGGCTTTCCCAACTATGGAGGTGGTGCCCAGGGTGAATTGGTCCCTGGGGAGAACTCAAGTTCTCTCTGCTTTGATCAGAACACTATTTTTTTTCTTTCAGATTTTATTTATTTGAGAGAGAGAGAAAGAGAACATGAGCTGTGTGTGTGTTGGTGGGGGGCAAGCAGACTCCCTGCTGGGCAAGGAGCCCAATACAGGACTTGATTCCAGGACCCTGGGATCACGACCTGAGCCGAAGGCAGACACTTAACTGACAGAGCTACCTAGGTGCCCCCAGAACTCCTTTCCTAAATCTGTTATAAGAAGTGGCTTGAAAAACAAATGACTATAAAATTTGAAACCACTAATTTTACTAATATTAACAATAGTTCTTGTGCTTAATTTGTTTCAGGCACTGCACTAGGCCCTCTCCTTGTCTTGGTTGATTTAATGCTGGCCCCAAGCTATGAGGTCAGTACAGGACTGCCCTCCTGTCCTGCAGACGTACAAGGTGAGTCGCAAATGTAATTTAAAATTTTCCAGGAACCCTGTTAAAAAAAGTGAAGAGAAACAGTGTTGCAGCGATCATAATAAGACATTTTATTCAACTAAGTATATCTGAAATATAATTTTTATGGGTAATCAATATAAATATCAACATGATATTTTCGATTTATTTTTCAGGCCAAGTCTTTGAAATCCAGTGTGTATTTCCCACAGCACATCTCAGTTTGGACTAGTCACACTCTCAGTATTCCACAGCCATATGTGACTAGCGACTGGGCAGAGCAAGGCTAGAAGGTAAGAGGGTAGGTTCTGTAGCTAGAGCAACACAGTAAGTGTGGTTAACATTTATCCCCTCCCATAAGATCTACTTTGTTGGAACTGTCACGTGTACGGTGAATTACTATTAGATATAATAACCGTGATGTACATCATATACCCCAGACATAGTTCTTTTATAACTGGAAGTTTGTACCTTTGACCCATCTTCACCCATTTCTTCTATCTCTGGCAACCACTAATCTGTTCTCTGTTTCTTAAAGGTTGGTTTTTTTAAAAAATTCCACATGTAAGTGAGATCATATAGGATTAGTCTTTATTTGACTTATTTCACTTAGTATAATGCCCTTAAGTTCTGCCCATGTTGTAGCAAATGGTGTGATTTCCTCCTTTTCCTATGGCTGAAAATATTCCCCTGTGTGTGTGTGTGTGTGTGTGTGTGTGTGTGTATAATGTCTTCTTTAACTATTCATCTGTCAGTGGATGCTAGCTTGTTTCCATGTCTTGGCTATTGTAAATAATGCTGCAATGAACATGGGGGTGTAGATGTCAGTTTGAGATAGGGAATTCATTTCCTTTTGGATATATACCTGGAAGTGGCATTGTTGGATCATATGATAGTTCTATTATTAATTTTTTGAGGACCCTCTGTACTGTTTTCCACAGTGGCTGCAACAGATTACACTTTCACTCACAGTGCCCAAGGGTTCCTTTTTTTCCACATTCTCATCACCACTTGGAATTGCTTGTCATTTAATGATAGACAATCTAACAGGTACGAGGTGATATCCCATTGTGGTTTTGATTTACATTTCTCTGGTGATGAGTGACGTTGAGTGCCTTTTCATATACCTGTTGGTCATTTGTATGTATTCTTTGGAAAATTGCTCAGCTCTTCTGCCTGTTTTTTAATCAGATTGTCTTTTTGCTATTGAGTTGTATGAGTTCTTTTTTTTGTTTGAGTTCTTTATATATCTTGGATATTAATCCCTTAGCAGATATATGATCGGCAAATACTTTCTCTTGTTCTGTAGATGGTGTTTTCATTTTGTTGATGGTTTCTTTTGCTATCCAGTCCTTCCTTCTTAAATCTGTGAAGATTGTTCAAAGGACCTAGCACAGGGCTAGACACTCTAGCTGTCCATTGAATATTTATTGGTAGCAGAGAAAGCCCCCTAGAGCTTTTTTACCAACGATCCCCTGAGTGAGGCAGTGCTGGCGAGGGAATATGGAAATGACTGCCTGGCCACAGGGAAATCAGGGCCAGAAATCACACTCTTGGCTTCCGGTCCTGGACTTCTTCGTAGGTAGGCTCAAATCCCCAAACTGTCACCTCCTAATTCTTAAGCTGGATTGAAGATTGGCTTTTGGATTTGGGCTGGGAACGAATGTGTTTGTGACTGATTTCATTTCGGAAGATGATGAACTAGGCCTTCCCTCCCACCACTACAACCTGGAGGCCCGAGGGAAATGCCTCACTCCTCCAGGAGCCTCACTGAAGTCTTGGAAAACCCTGGCCTAATTGCACTGATCTTTCCCCCCGCTCTTCTTGTTTTTCTTGTTCGAGGTGCAATTCTGCGCAGACGGGTAAGACTGGCAAGCAGATGAAAGCAGATGGAAGCCTTTTGTGACGACCCAATAAGCCCACAACAGTGGAACTTCCCTGATTTTGTAAAGAGCGCTTAGAGGGTTGGGGGAGGGGCTCCTTAAGGCAACAGTTTTCAAGGACATTTTTGCCTCCAATTCCACCCCCCCATTCCCCGCCCCCTCCACCCCCCCCACCGCACTTTCCCGCATACTTCTTGTCATCCCTGGTCGCTTTACAGCTTGTTACCCTGACCACTTACTGAGTTCTGACCACACACCTTATTTTATTTCATTCCGTTTTCATAGCGGTTCTGTTCAGTGGATACGGTAGGTAATAGAGCCTGCTCTACCCAGGGCAAACCGAAGCTTAGAAAAGATCAAGGGCTGGGGTCGCACAACTGTCAAATGGCGAGCGCTTCCTTGTCCTACCTCGAAGGGGCGGAGAGGAAAACACGACACCAGAAAGCAGCTTCTCCATGTGGGAAGCATCTAGCGGCCAAGGGACTGGTGGGCTGGGCCCAGGTGATAGCGAGTGTCAGGTGGGGAGGATTCTGTTCATTCTGATGGCTCTGGCATAGATGTGACACGGTCCACAGCCATTTGTTGGTCATACACTCCTTCACTCATCTAGTCTTTGAGCATCAGCTCCGTGCCAGGCAGTAGGCATGTCAAACCAAATGACACATGGTCCCAGGCGTCAAGCATCTTTATTCTAATTGAGGAAATAGACACCTTGATAGCTATTTAGAATACACGATGTTTAAGGATGGAGGACCTGTGGTAGAAAACGAGAGGGAAGGGTTATCTGGGAAGGCTTCTTGGAGGAGCTGACTCCTGAATTAAGGTTTTAGGGATGAGTTGGATTTAATTAGGTTGTGTGGGAAGGGATGGTGGGGGGGTGGGACAACCTGAAAAATGGCACAGCGGGGAGAGAGACAACTTGATGTGTACATGGTACCAAAAGTGGTGGCCATGGGACGCCTGGGTGGCTCAGTTGGTTGGACGACTGCTTTCGGCTCAGGTCGTGGTCCCGGAGTCCCGGGATCGAGTCCCGCATCGGGCTCCCAGCTCCATGGGGAGTCTGCTTCTGCCTCTGACCTTCTCCTCGCTCATGCTCTCTCTCACTGCCTCTCTCTCAAATAAATAAATAAAATCTTAAAAAAAAAAAAAAAGTGGTGGCCTTGCTGGCAGGTCCAGGGTGAATCAGGTAGCAGTGGGAGGCAGGCTGGTAAGGAGGCAGGGCCCTGTCATGGAGAATCTTCTGTGCCACACGTGGACCGTTCTCTGCCAGGAATAGAGAGTCCCGGAGGTTGCCCTTGAGTTTATGGTGGCTTTGCTACAGAGGCTGGATTTGATAGGGTAGAGGCCAAAGAGGGAGCAGAGGCAAAGTTCTAAGGAAAGATGATAAGGACCTGAATCAGGGCAGGAGCTAGTGGCAAAGGAGAGGAGGGCATGATTCGAGAATGATCGAAGAGACCAAATCAGGAACACACAGTGATCCCTCAGAGTAAGAGCTGAGAGAGGGAGAGAGGGGCAGACAGGAAGTTCTGGGGTGTCCCCAGCTGAGACTGGGAGCACAGAAGAGGAGGAGCTGGTTTCAGGGACGCTCTGATTCCAGTGTGGAAGTGTTGAGGTCATGTGCTGGGCCTCGTGTTACTCGGTTTTGAGGTGCTCGCTCCCTGCCCTGCCCTCTGTACTGTGCTGAGCCCC